TCGACAAGTTTATGATCGGACTTCACTGTGTACAAGTTGTTAAATTATATATTGTGTTATATAATTGGTAGGCTTGGTAGGTTATCGAACTCTACTGTAGAGGGTACAATCCCCTCCTTGTATCCCTCTCTCTTTCTAGTTCACTCTCTTTTCTCTCGTCAAACTTTCCTCTCCTAGCTCCTAGCTCTTAAACCCTGACGCCATTTTCATGGCCGCCCTTCCTTCCTAGCTAAGTTAGTCTTCTAACACAAGTTGCCTCGGACTACATGCGTGATTCTGGCGAAGCGACAGTCAGACCCTCACACCTGCTCCAGCTCGCGTCGGACAAATTGTGTGCTTTTGGCCAAGGACCAATCACGCCCCTCACATCTGCTCCAGCTCGCATCACCTACGACATTTTGGCAAAGGACAAGTCACGCCCCTCACACCTACTCCAGTTCGCCTCTAAGTACCTGCGTCATTTTGGAGGACCAGTCACGCCCCTCACACCTCGCCTCAGACTTCCTGTGTGAGTTTAGTGAAGGACCAATTACGGCCCTCACATGTGCTCAAGAAGCGGAAATTGTACGTAGTAACAAGTAAATGTGTAGTGGGCAGGGTGATAACTTTGGTACCCTGTCCACTCAGGGTACTAAATGTGAACATATATTTTGTATATGTTATAGGCTAGATGGGTGCATGCTCATAGAGAGTACAACACCTTATGTTACATTCCCTTGTACCTCATCATTCTAGTCTATCTTTCTACTCTGAGATGGTATCACGCTAGGTTAGGATCCCGCCCACCCACGCTTCCGCCCTAGTCCTAGCCCTAGCCCGAGCCGCCCGTCGCTAGCCGGCCGTTCCTAGTCGACCGTCGCTAGACACCGCTCCTAGCTGCCCACCGCCCGTCGCCCGTAGCCCGCTGGCCGCCAGTAGCCGCCAGCGGACCGTAGCCGCTAGCCCGCTGGCCGCCCTTAGCCGCCAGCTGCTCGCCACCCGTCGCTGCCGCGCATAGCCGCCAGCCGCCTGTCACCGCCGCCCGCCTGCCCTGCACCCGCTGGCCCCGCATCCCCGCGCTCCCTAGCCCCGCGCCTGCTGGCCCTGCATTCGCCGGCCCCGCGCTCGCCAGTTCCGCGCCCGCAGGCCCCGCGACTGCTGGCCCCGCACCCTCTTGCAGCTGGCTCCGCGACTGCTGGCCCCGCATCGCGAGCGCTACTTTCTAGTGCTTGCCGATGACTTCATGCGCTACACCACGGTGTTTCCCTTGGAGCAGAAGGCCGACGTGCCTGGCGCCCTTATCTCATGGGTCATAGCTACACGAGTCCACCGCGGCTTCCCCGTGCTGCGTCTGCACTCTGACCGTGGCGGCGAGCCTCCGGTCGGCTTGGACAGTTCTGTCGTGCGGAGGGCATCACCCAGTCGTACACTCTGCTGGACTCCCCAAAGCAGAATGGGGTCGCTGAGCGACGCTTCGGTTTGGTCATGGAGGTGGCTTGTACCCCCATGATCCATGACGGTGCACCCCATTTTATGTGGCCATTCGCAATTCGCTATGCCGCTCACCAGCTTAACATGTGGTCCCACTCCCAACGGCCGCAGGTTTTGCCGACCTTCTCTGGAACGGGTTCCCTGGTGACGCATCTGCGTTCCACGTCTAGGGCTGCCTTGCTCACGTTCGTGCCTCTGCACGGACAAGCTCACTGCGCGCAACGTCCCTTGTGTCTTCCTTGGTTTCCCCCTCGACGCGTCTGACTGGCACTTTTATCACCCACCGTCTCACCGTTTCTTTCACTCCTGCGACGTCACTTTTACGAGTCTGTTTCATTCTACATCCGTTTTCCCCAACGAAGTCTCCCAGTTACCCTGCCCCTGTTCTTGGTCCCCACTCCCTCGGTAGCCCCTGCTCCTCTTCCTCCCTGTCCTGCCCCGTCTGGTGTGTCTCACGTCACTCCCCTCCCATCGGTTGTCCCAGTCGACGAGTCGGCTGACTCCGGGGGCCCTGTGGCTTCGGTGTCGCCGCCTGTCTTCGCCCCAGTGTCCCCTCCTCTGCCGCCGCTGCAGCAGCCACCGTCGCCGCCGTAGCCGCAGCTGCAGCCGCCGTCGCCGCCACCGAGCAGCAGCCACCGTAGGGGTTCGCGAGCTTTGGAGGTGCGGGCATTGAGGAAGGTGCTAGTCCTGGGGGTACTGTCGTGGGTTGTCCTGGCGGTCCAGGGGGTGGCACAGATGCTGGAGAGGGTTCTCGTTCTAGGGGTGCTGGTTCTAGGCGTGCTAATTCTAGAGATAATGTCGTGGCTTGTCCCGGAGGTCCTAGGGGTGGCATCTATGGTGGAGAGGGTTCTCGTTCTGGGGGTGATATCGTGGAGCGTCACAGAGGTAGTCGTGGTGCAACTTGAGGTTCTGGTTTTGGCATGGAGCAGTAGTAGCAGCAGCAGACGCTGCCCGTGTCTGCTCTTCGCCTCCTCGGTCTTCTCTCCCCTGACCGCCCGCCTGTGCCTCCCCCGCCTGTCTACAGTCCTGTGTTTCCTCCGCTGGACTCGTCTCTGGCTCGTTTTCCCCCGCGTTCTCCTCCTGTGTCTCCTCCTGTGTCTCCTGACCCCACGCCTCCATCCCACGTCTGGTCTCGCCGTCCCTCTCGTACTCTCACCCTATGTTGCTTCGTTCCCACGTGTCTCGTCCTCCCCTCCTCCTGTCGCCTCCTCCTTCCTCATTGGTTGTCGTTCCGCCTCCCTTGTCTGACTTCCTCCGTGCCGCTAGTCCTCTTGTTCCTCGAGTCCTCGCCTCTCTTGTTACCGACCCGTCTGTTCCTGTCTCCAGTCTTGACGCTCTTGTCGCCGCCGTCATTGACTTTGCTGCTATCCACCGCCTTAACTATGCCACCGCTCTGGTTTCTGACCCTGCCCGTCCTCCGTCAGTCGGGGGTGCACCTGCCCTTGGTAGTGGCGTCCTAGAGGACCGACAGTACAAGCTTGCTTTCCTGTCCGAGGCCGCGCCTCATCTCTGCTGCATGCTGCTAGTCCCTGAGGGGGGACCCAAACGCCTTGCACATCCTGACCCCTCGCACTTACGCTGAGGCGACTTCGAGACCCTGGGCCTCTCAGTGGATAGCTGCTATGGACGTGGAGATGGCATCTTGGAGGTCCACCGGCACCTACGTCGACGCAGTTCCCCCACCTAGGGTGAACGTAGTCGATGGTCGGTGGCTCTTCAAGGTGAAGCGCCCTCCTGCAGAGCCGCCGGTGTTAAAAATGCACTACGTTGCTAGAGGCTTTAGTCAGCGCGAGGGTTTTGACTTATTTCAGACCTTCGCTCCGACCCCGAAGATGACTACTCTTCGGGTGCTACTACACGTAGCAGCGCAGCGTGACTACGAGCTTCACTCCCTCGAATTCTCCATTGCGTTTCTTCAGGGCAGTCTACACGAGCAGGTCTACCTGCGCCGCCCTCAGGGCTTCACTGGTACCTTCCCTCCTTGGACCCAGTGGCTCCTCCGGCGCCCCGTCTACGGCCTGCGGCAGGCTCCCCGTGAGTGGCACGACATGCTGCGTGCTACGCTTGCTGACCTGCAGTTCTTTCCGTCCTTTGCAGACCCCTCGCTCTTCGTTCGTGCTGGCCAAACCTCGTTCTACATCCTTGTTTACGTAGATGATCTGGTCTTTGCCACGGCAGACAGGGACGCACTGACCTCCGTGAAGGCAGAGCTGCTGAAGAGACACACCTGCACTGACCTTGGAGAACTGCGCCACTACCTTGGCTTGCAGATCTCCAGGGACAGAGCAGCGCGCACCATCACCTTGACTCAGTCACACTTGGTGCGCCAGGTCCTTCAGAGGTTCGGCCTTCAGTTCTCCTCCGCACAGCCTATTCCTGTGCCTCTGGACCACAGGCTCTCTGCTCCAGTTCCTGAGGAGTGAGCAGAGCCCAGTGGTCCTTACGCAGAGCTGGTGGGTTGCCTCATGTACCTGATGACTTGCACGCGCCCATATCTCGCATACCCTCTCAGCATCCTGGCTCGCTTTGTGGCTACAGGCAGACACCAACCTCAGCACTGGTCTGCCGCTAAGAGGGTTTTGCGTTATCTTGCTAGTACATCAGGCATGGGGTTAGTGCTAGGAGGACGCAGGCCGGTGGTCCTTACTAGACACACAGACGCTTCTTGGGCAGACGACGCCGAGACCCTCAGGTTCTCACAGGGCTACTGCTTCAGCCTTGGTTCAGGTGCCGTCTCGTGGAGAGCTACCCGCTCCTCGTCTGTTGCCCAGTCCAGCTGTGAGGCCGAGATCTACGCCGGTGCCATGGCGGCACAGGAGCTCCGCTGGCTGACCTTCTTGCTCACTGACTTAGGTGAGTGGCCTAGCTCTGCCCCGGTCCTGTACGCTGACAACAGGGCCATGATCCTCATGTGTCAGGAGCCTCGACTCGAGGGCAGAGCGAAGCACATTCAGCTGCGGTACTTCCTCCTGCGTGAGCTGCAGCAGCGTCGCCAGGCGCACGTAGTACACTTGGCCTCCGGTGCCAACACAGCTGATATCTTTACGAAGGCACTTGCGCCTAAAGATCATCAGCGGCACTGTGTACAGCTGGGTCTCGTTCCTGTAGCCTCTCACTTGCTAGGGCCTTGACTTTGTACTGTCTTTTATATATATATTTTACCCAGACTGGCCTTGTGGCCTCTCCCAGTGGCTGGACTAGTAGTGCCGCCCTGGGCTTGCTCTTGCCTTGTCTGTACTCCTTTTGACTGGTCTTTAGACCCTTGTCTCAGAGGCTGGACTTGTAGTGCCGCCCTGAGCTGCTTCTTCCCTTGTTAGGCACTGCCCCTATATAGTCTAGGGGGTGTGTCAAATGTAACTTAGATTGTTACTGTAGACTATACTGGATTGTGCCTTAGAGGGTACAACACCCTAGTCTATATATCCTTGTACACACACATTCTAGTTCAATCATTTTCTTTCTGATAATCTGGGACTTTGTCGAGGAGGATCATTAATGTTTTGGACGTGCGATTGACTACCGGTTTTGCTTCGAAAGTGATCCTGCACTCCGATCTGCTACATGACTATTCCGAGGCTACTATAGCTGTCAGGTTACCAACTTTCTATTGTTCCAAGATCGGAAAATGATTGGGATATCGGACGCAATGTAGCGCGTCCTAGGGGATTGTACTCACTAAGAGTGCGCACCTATCTAGCCTATAGTAACATACAAATATATGTTTGACTGGAGAGAGTTCCAGACAAACGTTTAAAGGGTGCCAAGTCAAACTATCGTAACCTAGTAGGTGTACTAAACAAACTTAATCAAAGGCACATCTTATATAGGTGTCCGCATTTTTCAAGAATGTGCGGCGTATCAGTCGTGGTGCAGCCGCACAGATGCCTTGAGCTTGTTGAGAAAAAAGTTCTCCAGCCTGGGCCGCAGGGAGGGAGGAGGGAGAGGTGGGGAGATAGTGAGGATGATCGTAGGCTAGGATGCGTGCGAGCTTAGGGAGAACTTATTAAATTGGATTCGAAATCAAAACGTCATGAGCATGCGAGGGATAGTGAGATTGTAGTGTGGAAGTGGATGGAGTGGGTGGACACACGAGGATGGAGTGGGGTGCACGGGGATGGAGTGGGGTGCACGGGATGGAGTGCATATGTTCAGACTTCTGTGGTTCAAGGATGGTGCCAGTAAAAAAAACTGTATGAATAATCGTGATACGTCGCTGTTGGTTCATCTTCACCTGTTCGCACACTTGAAGTAGATGGTGTTGGGTGCGTTGTACGTTCGTTCACCTGTGTGGCATTGCCTTGTGGGTGGCAACGTACAATCTCGGTACAATCACCTGTTAGCACACTTGAAGTAGATGGTGTCGGGTGCGTTATACGTGCGCGCGTTTGACGTCATGCGCCGCATGTCCGCCACAAACATGTCGATGGTCTGATAGAAGCTCTCCGCCTCCAGCCGCCGCTGCATCGTCTTCAGATCTGGGCGATTCCATGGGCATGGGTAGAGGACAGGGGGCATATATAGAGGACACAGGGAGAGGTGGACAAGGGGATATGCGGTGATGAGGGGATTTGATCCACTCTCGGGATGCACAGGGGGGGTGTCACAGGGAAGAAAGAGAGGTGCAGAAAGGGGAGAGGAGCAGAAAGGGACAGGGGCGGAAAGGGACAGGGGCAGAGAGTACACATGCAGCAAACAGGTACACAGTTGACCATACAAAGATAAGGGCACGCAAACTAACAGACACACATGCATACACATGCATGCTGTACTCATACCACATTCATCATAGCTTAATTGATCTTCCAAGCAACGAAGGATAGGAGTCCTAGAAACGGAGCTTTCGTGGCATTGCAGAAGGCTGTCTGAACAGTAAGCGCAGAGCAGTTACCACATACCTTCCAAGCCTTCGGAGGATGATAGCTTGATCGAACAAGCAGACCTCTCAGCGATGGAGTGTTTGCTGATGTGGTCGTGCTTGCCTCCTATGAGAAGCTTTGCACATGCCGTGGCAGCAGGCCACTCACCCTTGGGGCTCCTGATGATTCGTCGCAGTAACTCTGAACAGTCAAGACCACCTACGTTGGAAAAAACGCTCGAACAGCCAAGCGTTTTGCGTTCGAACGCTAGCGTTCCAACGCAAACGCCCAAACGCTAGGCAAACGCGCAAACGCAAGAGCGGGCTGCCCGCAAAAAAAATTCTGAAATTTTGAATTTTCGAAACCAGTTTGCGACGCGCTGGGAAAAACGGAATGACTCGCCACCTCGCAATCTCAAGATGTCTTCCCAACTCCCAACCCCCGAAAAACACCCAACCGCACTAGACCACAAATTATCTAGTCAACCCAACCACGTCTCTACAAACCCTCTCTTCAACAGAGAGGCATCGTAGACTCCAACCATTGTGCTAAACCCAGATCGGGATCTCACTCCTCACGTCATTTCCCGAGATCACAGCGTGTTTCGTTTTTTCCAGCCCCTTATTTCTTTTATGCTAAGCTATGGCTGACGCTGGCGAAACTCCTATTTCAATGGCGACCAACACTAATGTTGCCTCAGGTGAGGCCTCAAGTTCTCCCCAATTTGAGGAAGATAGCACGCACATAGTTTACCAGCACTTCAGAGTGCCCTTAGTTTCTAGCTCCCGCGGTAAGCAGTACGTCTGCAAGTTTTGCACCCACAAGTTTAGCGGATCCGTGGGGCGTTTGGCTCAGCATCTCACGAATTGGACGGGGGGGCGCCGCCGTGAGGTGAAACTCTGCACTGCGGTAACAAAGAAGGTGGCTGAAGAGGTCCGCACTCACTACGAAGCTAGGCTTCAGGAGGCCGAAGACATCCGCTCCGCCGAGGTAGCCGCCATTGAAGCGGTTAGCGGCCATAAGCGCAACCGCATAACCGACTTCTTTGGCGACGAGAAGGCGGATGCGAAGAAGGCTGCGGACGAGGCAATCTGCCTCATGTTCGCGGGCCTTCGCCTCCCGGAGCACCTCGCGGACCACCCTCTCTGGCGCAACGCCGTGGAGTGCATCGGCCTCGCAGGAAGTGGCTATGTCCCCCCTAAGCGCAAGAACGTCGGCGGCGCTGGCTTGCAGCAATGCCGCGTGCGGATTGAGATGGCGCTGGGACCGGTTGTGGCCAGCTGGGTGCATGGAGTGACGATAGCCTCAGACATGATGACCGACAGATGCGGTCGTCCGCAGGCCAACGTCTTGATGATCAACGACAGCGGCGCCGTCTTTATGGAAAGCGTGGATTGCAAGATGGAAAAAAAAACAGGCGGGTACATCGCTAGTATCCTAAGGCCGATAGTGGAGAAAGTCGGAGCGGAGAACATAGTTGCTCTCTGCATGGATGGGGGCAGCAACTACGCCGCCGCCTACAAGGAGATCTTCAATGAGTGGCCCCACATCGAGCATGTGCCGTGTGCCACGCACGTGCTCGACCTCCTCATGGAGGATGTGGGTAAGATGGCTTGGGCCAAGGGGGTGGTCGAGCGGGGCGGCGAAATCATCGCTTACATTCGGAAGCATCACTGGACGCGTGGATTCTTGAGGAGTCCAGAGGTGCAAGGCGGAAAGGGCTTGCAGGTGGTGCGTCCGGCCGGAACAAGGTTCGGGACACAATTTATCGCATTGTCTCGGCTTTGTGAGGTCAAACTGTCGCTGCTACAGATGGTGCACAGCGAGGGGTGGGAGTTGTGGGCAACGGGGGTGCGGAGGAGTGCAGGGGAAGCCTTCCAAGCCCACCTCGAGGACAAGATTTGGTGGAAGGCGGCTGCCTTCTTTGTGAAGCTGATGAAGTTGCCATTCATGGCAATGCGAGCAACCGATTCCACGGCGAAAGGGATGATGGGCAGAATCTATGATCACATGCTGCAGCTGACTGTGGATGTGAAGCAGCTGCTTGAGGGGGAGGATGGGCAGGAGCTGTTGACGAGGGGGGAGGAAAGGGAGATTAACAAGTTTGTCAAGACGCGCTGGGATGGCAGCCTTGCCTGCCCCCTCCACGTGGTTGGTCGGATCCTTAATCCGGGCAACCAGGTGGAAGAGATCTTCCTGGATGATGTGGAGTGCACCAAAGTCTTCAAAGACTTCATCTCCCGCCACTACGAGGGACAGACCATTACCAGGAAGGGTGTGGGGGAGAGGCGCGCCACCCTCGTCTTGCAGGAGGGACTCATGTCCTTCCTGAAACTCGAGGGCAGCTTTGGCATGCCTGGTGCCATTAGAGATCGATTGGCCGTGAAGGAGGGGAAGGGTTGCATGGTGCATTGGTGGACCTGGCACGGCACCGACTGCCCGGAGCTGGCCAAACTTGCTTGCCGTGTCCTCACTCAGCCGGTGTCTGCTTCTGCATGCGAGCGCAACTGGGCAGTGTGGGATTCGGTCCACACTGCTCGGCGCAACAAGCTCGGCTCGGAGAAGCTGAAGGATCTGGTTTACATTGCGCACAACTGGGGGGTTGTGCGCAACTGGCACAAGAGGGATGAGGGACTTGGGATTGTGGCTGGGAACATCCCTGACCTCCCGCTTCCAGAGGGGTACTTGTTGGTGGATGAGGAGGACGTGGTCGAGGAGGAGGGGGAGGGCAAAGAGTTGGATGATGAGTATTGTTAGTGGAGCTTTGAGGATCAAGGGAGTTGGAGATGGGAGGGTAGGGAGGGGCTGGGGGGGAAGAGGTGGCAGGGGTGGCAGGGGAGGCTCGTGTTAGGGTTTGCCCGCAGCATAGTGTTGCAGAGCATGAAGTGGAGTACTCGCAGCGGCTGGTTGTGGGAAAGATGCATCCTGGTTGTGTTGCATGGGAGAGGGGGTAGGTGTGTGTGATGTGATGAATGGATGTTAGGTTGGCTTGTGAATGTACCCTGAAACTTTTAATATTTTATTAATGGGGGTGGTGGATGAAAGTGCCTTTCCCCTTCCTCCCCCCGAAGCCCGTTTTTTTGCCCTGCCCGAACTTTTTTTTAACCCTGCCCGGGCCAGCGTTTTCCTAGCGTTTGCTCCACTCCTGGCTAAGCGTTTTGCGTTTAAACGCTAGCGTTTAGACGCTAGCGTTTAAAACGCCAAACGCGTTTTTTCCAACGTAGAAGACCACCCGTCCCTCCCGTGGGGGCCTTGATGACGTCATAGCAGTCTCACCCATGGGGTCCTTGATAATGTCATAGTAGTCGGGCACCTCACTGCCGTCCACCGGTTCTTTGAACGGCCATGAGTCCTGGTGCTCCAACACTGCCTGTACGGTTGTACAATGGGGGCATGGCATGGTGGCATGAGTCCTGGTGCTCCAACACTGCCTGTACGGTTGTACAATTGGGGCATGGCATGGTGGCATGAGTCCTGGTGCTCCAACACTGCCTGTAAGGTTGTACAATGGGGGCATGGCATGGTGGCATGAGTCCTGGTGCTCCAACACCGCCTGTAGGTGTTGTGGGATGAGGGCGTGGTGGTATGGGGGCAGTGAGTCCTGGTGGCATAGTGGCATGGTGCCGTTTGATGACGTGTGTTCGCACCCTCACCCGGTGCATCTCACCCGGTGCATCTCACCCGGTGCATCTCACCCGGTGCATCTCACCCGGTGCATCTCACCCGGTGCATCTCACCCGGTGCATCTCACCCGATGCATCTCACCCGGTGCATCTCACCCGGTGCATCTCACCCGGTGCATCTGCTTCATCAGGGCGTGCAGCTGCGCCTTGCTGGGCGGCCCCTCGCGGCTCACGTCCCTCGTCCCATCCGCCGCCACCTGCACCAGGCGGATCTTGTTGGCCCCGCTCTGCTCCGCCGCCCATCCGCTCTCCCCCAGCCCTGGAATATCCGCGAGGCGTATGGCCCGCCGTGGCACGCCCCAGCTGTCCCGCGGGAAGTCCATCCCCGGGTGCACCACGTGGCTGCGGGCTAGGTGCCGAATGCGGTCCGTGATGGCCTGGAGGGGGGGGAGGAGGGGGGAAGGGGACGAGAAGGAGTGGGACTGGGATGTTTTCCTGGGGAGGGGAGATGGAGGGATGGGGGAAGAGGTGTGCTCCGACGTTGACCCGATCTTCCCCTCCTGAGGATGTAGTCATATGGCCCGCCTTGGCACGCCCTAGCTGTCCCGAGGGAAGTCCATCCCCGGATGCACCACCACATGGCTGCGGGCCAACTGGCGGATGTGGTCCGTGATGGCCTGAAGGGGGGAGGGGGCGGGGGAGGGGAAGGGGAAGAAAAACGAATGGGATCAGTATGTTTTCTTGGGGAGGGGAAATGGAGGGATGGGAGAAGAGGTGTGCTCCGCCGTCGACCCACTCTCCCCCACCCGGGGATGTGGTCTTACGGCCCGCCTTGGCACGCCTTAGCTGTCCCAAGGGAAGTCCATCCCCGGGTGCACCACGTGGCTGTGGGCCAGCTGGCGAATGTGGTCCATTATGGCTGGGGGGGGAGAGAGGAGAGAAGGAGGGGTGGTGGAGGGAGAGCGTGAATGTACAGTTGCGAATGCCTGTGACGTGACTGTTGCAGCAGACTCCCCTTCACGTGCACGACCAAAAGGCAGGAGGGCGAAGCGTAGGCACAGAAGTGACGCGGGAATGACAGGTTTACATAAGGCGTGGTATTTATGTAAAAGGGGACGAATCGAATGAGCTGCGCTACAGTAGGAGGAGGAGCAGAACCAGTCCTACCTGCCGTTGCTTGAGCAGCACGCCTGGCAGTGCGGTATAGGGAAGGCCCTTCTCCAGCACGCACTCCATGAGAGTGCCGCCATCATAGTCCTTGATGTAGCTGCGGAGAGAGGCGCGGGAAAAAGGGGAGGTGCACGAAAGCATGGCACTCGTATGACTGGTGTAGCCCAGTCGACATGGCGGACGATCAGTCTAGTAGAGTGCCGCCGTCATTCAGTTCGCGTCCCTGCTCTAGCTGCGGGGAGAGGAGTGCGGGGGGGAGAGGAGTTCGAGAGGGAGAATGATCATGGGATCAAGGCACTGATGGCGCGCAGGATTGTCTTTCTTCCTCAGTATCTCCTCCACAGATAAATGCGGAAGAAGTATAGGGGGGGTGAAGAGAGACAGAAGGAGAGGAGAGGGGGCGTGAAGGCGGGTGCAGATGCGGATGGATGGATTGTGAGGTGAGTGGACGTAGTGGATAGACGTTGAGCTGGATGAGTGGATCAATGAAAGAATGTCTATCCAAACATTGTGGATAGACGTTGTGAGACCAACCAACCAAACATACCCCTCCCATTGCGCTTTAGGCATGGTGATCTCCTTAGTGAAGCCCTGCATGTGCAGACGCACACATGCACATATGCACATATGCACACATGCACACATGCACATATGCACATATGCACACATGCACACATTCACACATGCGCACATGCACACACGCACACATGCGCACATGTATGCATGCACGCATACACAGACATGAACACGTATGTGGATGCACACACATATTGAACAAAGGAGAGGAAGGAGAGAGATTGAGACAGTAGGGAGGGTAAGGGAGGGGGATGAGCGGGAGAAGGGGGTGCCGAGAAGAGGTTGGGCGGGAAGGGGTTGGGGAGGCGAAGCAAGGGGACGGCTAGAAAGGGAATATACTCATATGAGAGCGTAACGGAAACGAGCACTGGAAACTGATTGTGGAACGGAACTATGGAAAAAAACGCGGAAGGGCCATTGCATAGCATGGCATGGCATGGCATGGCATGGCATGGCATGACTTAGATGCGCTTTCTGCAGTGTGATATAGCATGGCATGGCATGCCATTCCACACGGCGTTACCTGCTTCACCAAGTACCCCACGGCGTTGTTGTCAGCGTATGTGAGGAAGAACTGCAGCCCGCCGATGTCCCTGGCATGCACGTTCTGTTCCGCATGGCGATAGCCACCCACCCCTATATTGCTGCAGCCATGCAGCCTTCTCACCTGCTTCACAAAGTACCCCACAGCGTTGTTGTCAGCGTACGTGAGGAAGAACTGCAGCCCGTCCACGTCCCTGGCATGCGCCTTGAGGTGGTTCATCAGCCGCGTGCCGTAGCCACGCACCTGGAGCATGGCCGCATGGCCGCATGGCAGCATGGCCGCATGGCCGCATGGCAGCATGGCCGCATGGCCGCATGGCCGCATGGCCGCATGGCAGCATGGCCGCATGGCCGCATGGCAGCATGGCAGCATGGCAGCATGGCAGCATGGCAGCATGGCAGCATGGCAGCATGGCAGCATGGCAGCATGGCAGCATGGCCGCATGGCAGCATGGCAGCATGGCCACATGGCCGCATGGCAGCATGGCAGCATGGCAGCATGGCAGCATGGCAGCATGGCAGCATGGCAGCATGGCAGCATGGCCGCATGGCAGCATGGCAGCATGGCCACATGGCCGCATGGCAGCATGGCAGCATGGCAGCATGGCAGCATGGCCGCATGGCAGCATGGCAGCATGGCAGCATGGCCGCATGGCGAGCACAAACAAACGCACACAGTTGCAGTATGGTGCGATGTGCAAGAGAGTCAGTCACACATGGATCATCAGCGGAATGCCATAGCCCTGTGCATGGCAGCATGCACACATATAGCGCCGAGCGGGGATGTGCCGGGCAATGGGGGAGGACTACACAGGCGACGGTGGGACATCATCCACCTAGAATCCATCCTCCTGTGCTCTTGAAAATGCTCTTGCAATGGTTCAGCCCACCTGCTCCGTTGCTGTGATCGCGCAGAATGCAATCTCTCCGAATCTTTGCCTGCAAAAATCCAGAAAAAGAGACATCATAAAACGCACTTCACGGATGGCACAGAAGAAGCATCACGAACTGGGTTTACATAGTGACCTCATGATATGTAAAATACTCACGAGGGGTATGGGCACTCACGAGGGGTATGGTCGGTATGTGATGCCGCCGACAACGGTTGACGCCTTGATGAGCATCATGGACTTGTGCGTTCTGACGGGGTCGGCGTGGCGGGAAGCCGGGAGCATAAGGGATGGGAAAACACAAGCATGGAGCACAAGCATGGAGCACAAGCATGGAGCACAAGCATGGAGCACAAGTATGGAGCACAAGCATGGAGCACACGCATGGAGCACAAGCATGGAGCACAAGCATGGAGCACAAGCATGGAGCACAAGCATGGAGCACAAGCATGGAGCACAAGCATGGAGCACAAGCATGGAGCACAAGCATGGAGCACAAGCATGGAGCACAAGCATGGAGCACAAGCATGGAGCACAAGCATGGAGCACACGCATGGAGCACAAGCATGGAGCACAAGCATGGAGCACAAGCATGGAGCACAAGCATGGAGCACAAGCATGGAGCACAAGCATGGAGCACAAGCATGGAGCACAAGCATGGAGCACAAGCATGGAGCACAAGCATGGAGCACGCGGAAGGTGCGACGATGCGTGGCGTCAGCAATGCCATCGGCGGCGTCAGGTACTGGCAAGATCAGATGAGAGACGCCCTGCACATTCCCTGACATCCTATCAAAGTACAAAACTTCGAATCTGGATTACACAGTTGCTTCGCCCTGGAGAATTTTGACCTCGCCCACCTCGGAAAACATTCAGACGAGCCAACTGTGGGATTCTGGCCCCGCAGTTTCGTTTCCCCCCGCGCATGTCACACATTCCCCGCCCCGCGATTTCGTTTACACTTGCCCTGCAATTTCGAATGTTTACACATTCGTTCCCCCCACCATGGTGAGTTTGTCCCCCCGACATGGTGAGTTTGTCCGCCCGGCATGGTGAGTTTGTCCCCCCGGCATGGTGAGTTTGTCCCCCCGGCATGGTGAGTTTGTCCCCCCGGCATGGTGAGTTTGTCCCCCCCGCATGGTGAGTTTGTCCCCCCGGCATGGTGAGTTTGTCCCCCCTGTCACAGCGACATTTCCCACCCGTCCCTTGTTTATCCGCCGTCCTTTGATCCCCCCCTGCAATTCCGTTGTCACTGTTCATTATCACTGTTCATTATCGATGTCCAGTTGTCACTGTTCATTATCCCACATTTTCGGGACTGTGCATGGCGGCTTTAACATGGGCAGCGCCTACGAGCGTAATCGCGTGGCATCAAGCTACCTATGACGCTGTCCGCATGACCACAGATGTCACCAAGCAGCAGCATCCACCATCACCAGCCAGCAGCATCCACCTGAAAGAATCTGAAAAGTTGTATTAGCAGTTTGAATGCAAGCATACATAGGATTCTAGAGAGGCTTGAGAGGGAACAGTGCCACAAGCAGTTGGGGAAACCCCAATTATGGTTGGGTTGCCCAACCACTGTTTGGGGAGACCAAAAGTGGTTGGAGGACCAACCACCATTGGCGCCACTTGTGTGGCCCAACAAGTGTGGGCTTGGTGCTTGGGGGCTCCAACCACTTGGGGGTTGGATTGACACCCCTTGCATAAAGTGTGTACACCACAAATTGGTGTACACCTACAGAGCACACTAACCTAGCATGTTATAATCGATATAATCTAGCACAACCCCTTAACATGCAGAAGGCTAGTGCGAAGAAGGGAGATAACCACTGAATCATGGAGCGCCCGAGGGGCCGGGAGGGCCAAGGCCAAGGAGGCAAAGGAGGGCCTTGTGGGCAGCCTTGGGCAAGGCCTTGGTGAAAATGTCCGCCAAGTTAGCCTCACCGGCGATCTTGCGCACGGCCAGGTGGCCCTGCTGGACGAGCTAGCGAATGTAGAAATAGCGAAGCTCGATGTGTTTGGACCGACCATGGAAGACCGGGTCCTGAGTGAGGTGGATCATGCTGGCATTGTTGCACCAAAGGGTGGGGCAGCGCTGAGGAGCGCCGAGCTCAGCGAGGAGATAGCACAGCCAGTGCGACTCCTGAGCGGCCATGGTGCCCCCGTAAGTCTCTGCCTCGCATGAAGACAGGGCAATGGCGGAGGAGCGGGTGGAGCGCCAGCTTATGAGGCCACTGCCCAGGGTGAAGCCATAGCCCTGGGAGGAGCGGCGGTCGGGCTGGGAGTCGGCCCAGGACGAGTCACTGTAGCCAGTGAGGAGGAGAGGGGAGGTACCACCAAGAGTCAAGACGTAGTCCTTGGTGCCTCGCAGGTAGCGGAGGACTCTCTTGGCGGTGGCCCAGTGCGCGGGAGTGTGGCGGCCTGCGCCAACGAACCGGGCAAGGACACTGATGGGGTATGCGAGGTCGGGGCGCGTACACATCATGGCGTACATGAGGGACCCGACAAGCTCGGCATAGGGGTGATCAGAGGCGGAGGGGGAGGTGGCAGGGGCAAGCTGATGACCAACGGGCAGAGGGGTGGACACTGGCTTGGCCTGCGCCATGGTGAACCGCTCCAGGACCTGGGCCAGGTAAACCGCTCCAGGACCGCTCCGACTGGGACAGCGTGATGGTGCGGGCTTCCAGATCGCGAGTGATAGTCATGCCGAGGTAATTCTTCAGCTCGCCGAGATCACCAGGCAGCACCATCCACCATCACCAGGCAGCAGCAGGCGCATGATAGCATGATAGCATGATATAGTCCAGCAGTTGGGCAGTTAATGCAGCCATAGCGACCAGCAAGCAGCATCGAAAAGAGCACCCCTGTCAGCACTCCCACCTGTCAGTCAGCGCTCCCACCTGTCGAGCAGCACACCCACCTGTCGAGCAGCACACCAACTGTCGAGCAGCACGCCCACCTGTCGAGCAGCACTCCCACCTGTCGAGCAGCACTCCCACCTGTCGAGCAGCAGGCGCACCTGTCGAGCAGCAGGCGCACGATGTAGTCCTTGGGCATGTTGGGCAGCTGGCGAGAAAAAATGTTCTTCAACCCCACCAGCCTGGCAGGAGTGGGGAGGGAGAGAAGGATGGTGGAGAGGAGAAAGAAGATAATGGGCCGGAGAAAAGTGCAGGGCGGCGATGATACCTAAGGGCGGTGGAAGGGAGGGGGGAGGGAACAGGGCGGCTTGGGAAAGGTAGCAAGAGCAGCAATCCACCACCTCCGTCTACATGGCAGCACTTGCCAATGTATCCGGGCTAACATGCCTCGCGACTTTTATCATCCATGCGAGCAGCCTCTTGTGACTATTAGTCCCACGCCATGCCATGCCATGCCATGCCATGTCATGCCTTGCACATTGCCGTGTTCTCCCCGTACTACTCATCGCCGTACCACCCCCATGCCTCACCATACCATATCATGTGTTCGCCATATCGTATCATGTGTGCACCATACCATATCATGTGTACACCATAGCATACCATGTGTTCACCATACCATATCATGTGTTCACCATACCATATCATGTGTACACCATACCATATCATGTGTTCACCATACCATGTCATGTGTTCACCATACCATATCATGTGTTCACCATACCATATCATGTGTTCGCCATACCATATCATGTGTTCACCATACCATATCATGTGTACACCATACCATATCATGTGTACACCATACCATATCATGTGTACACCATACCATATCATGTGTACACCATACCATATCATGTGTACACCATACCATATCATGTGTACACTATACCATATCATGTGTACACCATACCATATCATGTGTTCACCATGCCATATCATGTGTTCACCATTCCATATCATGTGTTCACCATACCATATCATGTGTACACCATACCATATCATGTGTACACTATACCATATCATGTGTACACCATACCATATCATGTGTACACCATACCATATCATGTGTTCACCATACCATATCATGTGTTCACCATGCCATATCATGAGTTCACCATACCATATCATGTGTTCACCATACCATATCATGTGTTCATCCACCCCATCGTTTCGGCAGCAGATGAATGTCAGGCTGCCAGCCGCCTCCTGCAGCAGGCAGGGCGGCATTGAGGGGGAAGGCGGGAAGGCACACGCGGAGAGAGGCGACGAGGAGCAATCAAAGGCGGAAAGGTGAGGAGGCCTTTGGTGGGTGCAGGGGGAGGGGAAAGGGAGAGAGAAAGGAGACGAAGGAGAGCGCAACGAGGGGGGGAGAATGAAAGGAGCTGCCGGAAATGGGAGGGCTAGCGCGCTATGCACCATCATCAGCCATGCTCTTAGAGCCGCCTAGCCACGTGTCTCAAGTAGATGCCATGCCTACCTGCGCCTCCATCAGCCCTTTCCCGCTCAGCCCATCCTTCCACCCACCTCCGCGTGCAGACTCGCTTCTCGCGCGCAGTAAGCGCCGCTCGCCGCTTGCTCCTTCCCCACATCCTCCCCCTTCTCCCCGCCCCCCGCCCCTCCTTGCGCCTGCCCCTCTCCGCGCGCCTCCCCTTGCAATTCCCCTCCGCCGGCCTCTCCCCGCGCCGGTGTCCGCTGGTCGCCGTCCGCCGCCCCCTCGCCATCCTCGAAGCCTCCGCCGAACTCCCCCCCGCCTCCGCCGATTTCCCCGCCCCCTGCGCCATCGAACCTCCGCTCCTGGTTCTCGCTACTACCAGGCCAAGCGCCCCTCCCATCCGTGCCCATGGCGACGAAGTCGTCTGGCCTGCTCGCGAGCTCGGTGTTGCGGTCGCTACGGTCGTCGGTCGTGCGCCGAGGCGTCGCGCGGGAAGGAGAAGATAGGATAGTGAGTTGGGGAGCGACAGGCACGCAATTTGTCGGTGGGAGTGCGTTAAAAGAAGGTTCGCGTTCCTTTTTTAGTTACCCACAAAACAAGCATCCATGTGATTCCACACACAAAATAGTTCTATCAATGTTTTCCTTTATTTTCCGTTACAACAAGCGGCTTTCAACGAACAAATTAGTTCTATCAATATTGTTGTTGAAATCTTTGTAACGCACGTTTCAGCAAGGGGACGCCATTGGGCTGTAAAAGAGGCAGCTTAGGTCGAGTCCAGGCACTAACCCAAATCCAGCGCCCTCCACTTGACTCGCAGCTCCACGGTACGAAGCACGTCACATACCGCGAAGGACGCTGCGCCCGCCACGACCCCTCTGCCGCTCTACAGGCGAGGGGCTCTGCCTCTCTGCTTTCCCGCCCGCTCATCTCAGCATTCTGAATACAATCGGCTGCTGCACGTGAGTCGAAACGCCAGGATGGGTCCAGATTTAGGGCGGCGACCACCGCATTCCCTCGCCTCTCACCCGTCCTGCCACGACATCATCCCCCTCCATCCATACCTTTTCTTTTATCGCTCCGTCCCGCGCCCTTTCTCTCTGCCGCGCGCCCTTCCGTGCGCCCATCCCGCGCCCTTCCCCCGGTCCGCTCTCCCCGTCCCCGCTCTTACCTTTCACCTTCTCCCCGTACCGCGCCCTTCCGCGCGCTGCACTCCTCCCGTCTCGTCCGACCGGAGCATCCTCCCCCTCCTCCGCGCGCTGCCCCCATGTCTGTGGCAGCAGGGCGGGAACAGACGGGGGCAGAACAGAGCTGGCCAGCGCTCGAGCTGGACGGGTGCTCCCTCACCCCCCCCTCGCTCCCTTCCGCCGCGCTCCCCCCCCATTCCACCCCTGTCTCCCCCCCATTCCACCCCTGTCTCCCCCCCATTCCGCCCCTGTCTCCCCCCCATTCCACCCCTGTCTCCCCCCCATTCCACCCCTGTCTCCCCCCCATTCCGCCCCTGTCTCCCCCCCATTCCGCCCCTGTCTCCCCCCCATTCCACCCCTGTCTCCCCCCCATTCCGCCCCTGTCTCTCCCCCACCGGCCCGTGCCTCCCTGTACTCGCATGCATGGCACGCCGTAAACCTGGACACACCATGGACTCATTCCGCGACTTGCCTCGGGGTGAATTGCGACACTCACAGCATTCACTGGAGGCGCCTTGACGGCCAACAGGTGCCCCCACAGCAGGTGCCCCCACAGCAGGGAACTCCACAGCAGGGGCCAAGTGCACCGCTGGATGATGCTGCACGCCTCTATGTAAGATTTCCTTCAAACGCTCTGGGCCTTGCCAGTGCTGCTCATCGCACGGTAGAAGGACCACCTACTCACCAACACCTGCCGACCCCCCCTCATCGAATCAACTATATAACCGTTTTCTCCTCATCTCTTTGAAACTGTTTTCCCGCCCATTGCTTGCTTTCTCCCTTCCTCCGCCAGTGTTGCAGAGGCCCTTGTTACAAGAACAATCCTTTCTTCCCATCGCGCTCCCGTGGCACACCGTACTGCCCTCATGCGCCACCCCCTCGCGGCCTGCACCGCAGCCAACTCGCGCCTGCTTGCTCCCCCCACCTCTCCCAGCCTCCACCACCCTCCCGCTCACACCAACCACCCAGGGTGTAGGGCGCGGCACACTGAGTGCAGCAGCCAGCGCCTCTCCGTGCACAGTGCAGCCCTCCGCCTGGCCCCCCAGAGCCATCCAAGAAGCGCAGGGCGATCCAATATCGGTCGCTCTCCGTTCCACAACGCCCGCCTTGCAGCCAGCGCTGGTGGGTGCCGACAGAGAGGGGGCATGGCGGGGAGTGCGGTGGATGCTGCTGCGGCCACTGCAGCAGGTGTGGCGGCATCAGAGGGAGCAGCTGGGACAAGCGCTGCAGACGTCGCAGAGAGGAACGCCGCCTTAGGGGCAGCGGAGGGAGGTGCTGCAGGGGAGGCAGTGCAGATGAGTGAGGGGGGAAAGGGGGAGGGGGAAGGGGAGGGCGAGGAGGACCCGTTGGTGCAGCACGTGGTGATCCGCAGGGACCTCATAGAGGCGCTCAAGTGGCCGCTGGGGTCGGTCATCACACAGGGCTGCCATGCGAGCGTGGCCGTGGTGTGGCAGCACAGGGACCACCCCCACGTGCTCCAGTACTGCGGCCAGCTAGACTCCATGCGAAAGGTGAGTTGTTCTGAAAAGCTGCTTGGGGTTTCGCGTTCTACAATCGCAGCTCTCAATGCACCCAGGGTTTCGGGTCTCGGGTTTCGGGCACAGTGCTTTTGGCTCAATTCACATGGGTACTGGAGATTCTAACGAGCTGCTGTCTTGTCAACTTGCAAACCTGATTAGCACGCACGGGAAGTCTGAATGCACTCTACTAGGGAATTGTGACCATTTCAGTGAGGTTAGAACCTTCGAAGCTGCTGGTGTGCCATGCCCTTGGTGTCTCTGAGCCTCGAGATGTGCCGCTGTATCCGATTGTTGTTGTCCCACCTTACTTCCAATCCACCAGGTGACATTGGAGGTGAAAGGCGAGACGCAGCTGCTGAATCTGTCCAAGAAGCTGCAGGAGGCGGGCATTGTGCACCGCGTGTGGATGGAGCAGCCAGAGAACATTCCCACGTGCATTGCCACCCTGCCACACCCCAAGAGCATTGTGGGGCCGCACATGAGGAAGCTCAAGCTCTGCAAATGAGGGGCAAATGGCACTAAATCGGCTGACTAATCGCGTAGAAAGGGTTTTTGTCATTGCATAATCCAGAAACTGGAATCAAGTGATCATTTGGCGAATAATACCGCGTGATACTTTGTAACACGTAGGAATGGCATGGAATTACTTCAACCTGGTGGCAGTGAAAGCATTAGTAAAGGAATGCACGCTTCACTAAGGGTTTTTTAACCGTACTCCCTAGTAATGTCGTACTCGTGATCATCTCCATAACGCGGAAACACGTCATACGGCAATCCCCCACGTCGGCGTTCTCAACGGCACGCTTGCAATTGGTCGATTTCCCGGCTCCTTCGAAAATTCCTCCCGCTGAACTGATCTCTGCCGCGGCGCGCAACTTCGAATTTGCGCGTCTCGGTCTCCGCCCCAACCAACCACCCCACCAGCAGTGCCCGCCGTGGTCCCCGCCTCCCCGTTCCGCCTCACGTTCTCCGTCTCCCACCGCAAGCTCGCTCGTCCCCGCACGAGCGGAAATTCAAGCCCAACCTCGAAAATTCAGGTGCTCCAGTGGATTCCCCATCTCCAAGTCGGCTGTGACGCCCAGCCAACAGGCAGGAAGCAGGAGCTTGAGATTTATAGCTGGATGAGGCCATCTTGACTCTCGTGGGCTTGGCCCTTAGTGGGAGTAGGGGCTGGTTTCGCGTGGCACCACCATGGCCGTGAAAGAGTGGGACCACCGTCGGTTGTACTAACTCCCGTAGGGCGCTAGGCCATACTAACACTAGTAGTGCGATAGGAGGCACCGGTAGACGTAGCGGGTGTTGCCGGAGGTAGGGAAATAGTACACAGAGAGACATATTCGGCACCAGGATTCGTTCGTTCTTTCTCGATTTAGTGGGCCATGGCATGCAGCCCTCCGCACAGCACCGCCTTGCTCAAAGGCACCATCAGCGCGTATCGGCCTCGACGTGTGTTATTCACTCCCCTGCCGTGGTCATGTTCCTGCCTCGTTAAGGGTAAGTACGTTTTAATGAATTTGCATTGCTGAAAGACGCGTCTTGTTCCGTTGTGCGTCGTTTCTCTTTGCTACTAGACTGACCTTTTTTTTTCCTGCACGCTGTGCTCCCTCCGTGTGCGATTGTTCCTCAGGAAACGACGAGCCTCTTCTTCGGGTGGATGCACTGAAATCGAACGAACGTCAGCAGCCGTCGCACGTCGTCGCGCGCACCTCCGTGCGATGCGATGCTGTTCGCCAGTGTTCGCCGCGTCGCCAAAGCCAGCATTCATTCAGCGCAGGCGCGACCGCGCGGGCGAAGGGGACGAGAAGCGCTGTGGGAAGTGCTACTGCTGTCGCTGAGAGGCTGCGGCAGAGGAAGGACGGCAGCGCGTCGAGGAATGGCGAGGGGCAGACGTCGGCGGGCGGCGTGCGCACGAAGGGCGAGCTTGACGCGCTCGAGACGTGGCTTTGCGGCGGGGCGGCGCACAGGGACATCGCGAAAGGGGACGGCGGAAAGGGCGCAAGCAGACAGAAGGGCGGAGCAGCGCAGCCGCTGACGGCTCCGCCGGTGAGTTCCGCTGTGACACGGGCGAACCGTTTGCGCTGAACGGCTTACCAGCCGAATTAGTCCGTCTGGCCTTGTCCCATCCACATCTCACAATCGCCAGACCTGTGCCGTCGCTGCCTCTTCGCAATAACGCATGTCGTTACTCCTCCCCTGCCCTTCCCTGCCCTCCCCTGCTCTCCCCTGCCTTCCCCTTCCTCCCCTCCCCTCCATGCGTTCTTGCAGCGTGCGGCGCAGCCGCGGCAGCAGAAACCGAGCGGTAGCGACCGCGTGAGCCCGAAGACCGGGCAGTCCGGCCGCCCTGACTGCAGGAGAGCGGCGGACGGGCGAGGGGCTCGTGGTGGGGCGACGCACCCCGCCGTGAGCGCGCAGCAGAGCAAAGCCAGTGATGCCCCTCGCTGCCGTAGCAACGGGGACGGGGCTATCAGCAGCGGCGGTGCCGTCAGCAGCAGCAGCAGCAACGGTTGCACGAAGACAGGGCCAGAAATGCCCAGGCAAGGTCGGTCTGCTGGCGAGTCTGCTTCACCCCGAGCCGGCCGACCTAAGCGCGTTCGGAGCTCGTACGCGTCGCTGGCTGACGCGGCCAAGGCTGGCATGACGTGGATTGCCGGTCCAGAGGGGGTTAAGATCGTCGGAAGCGTGCAGCGGTGGAGGGAGAGCGAGGGGCAGGAAAGGCGGGTGCTGGTGGAGCACGCAGTGGTGTCGCTGCAGCTCATTCTCCCTCTCTCCCTCATGGACATATCGCTGCGCGCCCTGTGGCTTGGCGTGTGTGGAGGTTGGCTGGGAGCGGTGCTGCAGGTGGTGGCTCGTGTGGGGTGCTGGTTCTCCCGGCTCAGGGCGTGGTGTGTGGGGCTCTGTGCGCTCAGAGCCTTGCACGAGGTGCTCTGTGGACTCAAGGCCAGGCTTTGCCCAGCTGAAGCTGTGGCTAACGGAGGAAGGCTGTAAAGAACGATGTGAGATGTGGCTTGCAGAATAATGTGATAATGCCGCTGTGTGGGATGTGCTTACTTACTGATCTCGGGCATGATTGGTAAGTAGACGGATGTGTAGCATATGGTCATTATTTTGTATAGATTGTTCGTTCGTTGTATTGTTCGTTAACATAACAAAATGCTTTTCTTCCGAGCATCGTTTGCCTACAATTGGTCTAGAGGTCCCCTGATCTGATTGCCTAGTGTTGCCCTAAAAAATTTAATAAATAAATAAATAAAACTTTCGCACACGGCCGGGACCAGGGTGTCAACTTATACATATTATCTATGTAGAAGTTATAGGCTAGACTGAGGTATGCTTCTAGTGAGTACAACCAACTAGTATTTGTTCTAGGTTTCCACCTCTAGTAAATCATTCGTTTCTACGTTAACATGGTATCACGCTTAGGTTAGGATCCCCCCGCCTACCGCTTCCGCCCGTCGCGCCTCCTAGGCCCCGTCGCGCCCCCTAGGCCCCGTCGCGCCCCCCCTGGGCCCCGTCGCGCTCGTTAGGCCCCGTCGCGCCCCCCCTGGGCCCCGTCGTGCCCGCTGGGCCCCGTCGCGCCTCCTAGGCCCCGTCGCGCTCCCCCTGGGCCCCGTCGCGCCCACTGGGTCCCGTCGCGACCCCTAGGCCCTAACTCGCCCCCGCTGGGCCCCGTTGCGCCTCCTAGGCCCCGTCGCGCCCCCCATGGGCCCCGTCGAGCCCGCTGAGCCCCGTCGTGCCTCCTAGGCATCGTCGCGCCTCCTAAGCCCCGTCGCGTCCCCCCCCTCTGGGCCCCGTCGCGCCCGTTCGGCCCCGTCGCGCCCCTCCTAGGCCCCGTCGCGCCCGCTGGGCCCCCTTCGCGCTTCCTAGGCCCCGTCGCGCCTGCTAGGCCCCGTCGCGCCCCCCCTGGGCCCCGTCGCGCCCGTTAGGCCCCGTCGCGGCCCCCCTGGGCCCCGTCGTGCCCGCTGGTCCCCGTCGCGCCTCCTCGGCCCCGTCGCGCCCCCCCTGGGCCCCGTCGTGCCCGCTGGGCCCCGTCGCGCCCCTTAGGCCCCGTCGCGCCCGCTGGCCCCTGTCGCGCCTGCTGTTAGCGCTCGCCCGCCTGGCCTCCTCCTAGTGCCGCTCGGCCTCCTCCTAGTGCCGCCCGGCCTCCTCCTAGTGCCGCCCGGCCTCCTCCTAGTGCCGCCCGGCCCCTTCCTAGCGCCGCCCGGCCTCTCCTCAGCGCTGCCCGGCCCCTCCTCGTGCCCGACCGGCCCCAGCAGCACCAGCCTGGCCCCTCCCAGCACCAGCCCGGCCCTAGAGCACCTGCCCGCCTCCCCTGCTCGGCCTGCCGTGTCCTCTCGGGCCCTGTGTCTTCTGCTTGCCTGCGCTGGGACGCCTAGCTGCTGCCCTACTGGAGAGTGCTGCCGCCGTGTCCCCGCGCCGCTGTGCTCCTGTGCCGCTGAGGAGCTGTGCTGCTGTGCCGCTGTGTCGCTGAGGAGCTGTGCCGCTGACCCTGCACGATGGCTGACTTTGTGCTCCGCCTGGACGCTGAGGGCCACGCGGTTGACTTCGCCGCCTGGCTCTCCGATCTTCGCCGCCAGCTTACAGGTCAGCGCCAGGATGGCCACTCTCTGGTTGTCCATGCTGATGGCTTGCTCCCCCGTCCCCCTGCACCTACTCCCCTCCCTGCTGACCCCTCCTCTGATGACCGTGAGGCTTTCTCTACTGCTGCGCTAGCCTGTGCGGTCTGGGACTCACGCGATGCAGTAGCTCAGGTTGCTATTAGTCACGCCCTCCCTGTGTCTGAGCGCTCGCGTTTTGCTACTGTTGAAACGGCCAAAGCTTATTTAGACGCCGTTATTGCTCGCTATTCCACCCCTGCCTCCGCTTCTGCTGGCCGCTTGCTCTTTCCGATGCTGTTCCCAGACCTGGCTGCCTTCCCTACTGTCGCAGATTTTGCCACTCATTTGCGTGCCCTAGAGACTCGCTATCGCACTGCCAGCACTGCTGCCCAGCTCACTGCGCTCCCCCCTCCTTTCTGCATGACGCTCTATTTTATCGCTATGCGCCTGCCAGACCGCCTCGCTAGTGCTCGCGACCACTTTCTTAGCCAGCACCCGGGTGACCTCACCCTGACCGCCTTTGTCGACACCCTCACTGAGATCGAGACTCGCCAGCGCACTATCGCTCAGTCGAGCGGTGCGCCGGCAGTCTCTATCTTTCACGGTTGTGCCCCATCCCCGTGCACGTTCACTGACGTTTCGGCTGCGGTCGCCACGGCGACCCCTCTTACCGAGACGGCTGCTGCTGTCCACCCGCAGCAGCGCTCGCGTCGCGGTGGCCGTGGCCGCCAGGGAGGTAGGGGTGGTGACGCAGGTGGTAGTGGTCGTGGTGGTGGTGACGGTAGTCCGCCTGAGGGGACTACCACCGGTGGGCAGGAGCAGCAGTCCCAGCAGCAGCAGGACCAGCCCCAGCCGCAGCCGCCGTCCCAGCAGCACCCGCCGCAGCCGTGGGCTCGTCTCCCGCCTGGTTGGCCCGGCACCTCCGGAGGCGGTGGCCGTGGTGGCGGCCCGCGCAGCTTGGCGTCTACCAGCGGCTCCAGTGCTGTGACCTGCCAGTACCAGCTTCAGACCGGGCCTCTCCGCGGCACTCTGTGCCGCCGCCCGCACCCGACCGCCCACTGTTTCCGCCGCCTCGACGATCTTTTTCGTCGTCGCTTTGGCCCGGCCCCGGACCTCCCTGACTGGCACAGCCTGCTCCGCCAGGGCGTGCCGATCTTTGAGTTAGACATGGATCAGATAGGTGCTGCTTTGCATGCTTTGTATGCTGACGCTTCTAGTGTTGATGGATCTTACTACCATGTGTACTCTAGTTTAGGTGTTTCACCCTTGTGTAGCTTAGCTTCCCCTGCTGCGACAGGCGTAGGACTGCCTAGGTTGCCTAGTCTAGTCGCTGCACCGGCTCCGTCCGCGGCCTCCGCCACTGCGTCGCTGTCCTTCACTCTTGACTCTGGTGCTTCTGCCTGCTTCTTCCGCGACCGTTCCACGCTCACGCCGCTTGCTGCACCTGCTGTTGTCTCTCTCGCTGACCCCTCTGCGGGTCCGGTCGTCGCGCGCAGTTCTACGTCCCTTCCCTGTCCGGCAGTTCCCTCGGGCTCCCTTACTGGCCTCCACGTTCCCTCGTTCTCCAGGAACCTGGTTGGTGTCGGCTGTCTCCAGGACCTCGGCGTCACCACCACGTTCCCCGGGCACGAGCGGTTCGCTGTCTGTTCTGAGGCTGTCTCCGGTTCCCCCCTTGCGACGTTCCCCCGGGACCCGGTGTCCGGTCTGTTTACCCTACACACCGCTTCCCCCCCGGTTGGTGCGTCCTCCCAGGTCGCTGCAGCTTGCTCGTGTCGGTCCCTCACTCACCCCTCCCTTCTCTGGCACCACCGCTTAGGTCACCCTGCTCTCCCGCGTCTGCGTCACATGTCCCAGCACGGTCTTGTCTTAGGTCTCCCCGCGTCGCTCCCTGCCCTTCCTCCCTCGACTGCGCCACCGTGCACGCCTTGCGTCGAGGGTCGGCTCCGCCGTGCTCCTCACTCCTCCTCGCTGCGTCCTGCTACTGCCCCCCTTCAGACCCTGCACTTGGACGTTTGGGGCCCTGCCCCCGTCCCCGGACCGCGCGGTGAGCGCTACTTCCTTGTGCTCGTTGACGACTACACGCGCTACACCACGGTGTTTCCCCTGGAGCGGAAGGCCGACGTGCCCGACGTTCTTCTCCCGTGGGTTGTAGCTGCGCGTCTCCACCGCGGTCTCCCCGTGTTGTGTCTCCACTCCGACCGTGGCGGCGAGTTCGCCTCTGGTCGGCTTGGACAGTTCTGTCGTGCGGAGGGCATCACCCAGTCGTACACGTTGCCGGACTCGCCACAGCAGAATGGGGTTGCTGAGCGCCGCATCGGCTTGGTCATGGAGGTCGCCCGTACCTCCATGATCCATGCCGATGCCCCCCATTTTCTGTGGCCGTTCGCTGTTCGCTACGCGGCTCACCAGCTTAACCTGTGGCCACGCTCCCAGCGGCCGCAGGTTTCGCCGACCCTCCTTTGGACCGGGTCCCCCGGTGACGCGTCTGCGTTCCACGTCTGGGGCTGCCTTGCTCACGTTCGTGCCTCTGGCACGGACAAGCTCACTGCCCGCACTGTCCCCTGTGTCTTCCTCGGTTTCCCCCTGGACTCGTCTGACTGGCTTTTCTACCACCCGCCGTCTCACCGCTTCCTCCACTCTCGTGACGTCACCTTTGACGAGTCCGTCTCCTTCTACCGCCGCTTCCCTCACCGAGGTCTCCCAGTTGCCCCCCCCCTTTTCCTTGCTCCCTCTCCCCCGGTAGCCCCTGCCCCTCTCCCGCCTCGTCCTGCCCCGTCTGGTGTCTCCCACGTCACTCCCCTCCCGTCGGTTGTCCCCGTTGAGGAGTCTGCTGACTCTGGTGGTACCCCCGGTCCGTCCTTGCCGCGTCCCCCTTCCCCAGTGCCTCCGCCCCCACTGTCGCAGTCGCCGACCCCGCTGCCGCCGCCGTCGCCGTCGCCGCCGCAGCCGTCGCCGCTGTCGCCGCCACTGCCGCCGCTGCTCTCGGCCCCTGGGGGTGCTGGTGTGGAGGAGGGTGTTCGTCCTGCGGCTTCTGGGGGTGCCGCTGGTGTTGGAGGGGGTTCTCGCTCTTGGGGTGTTGGTTCTGGGGGTGCTGCTGTTGAGTGTTCTGCCGACGGTCGTTCTGCCTCTGCTGGTCCGAGAGTTCCGGCCCAGCCGTCGTCGCCGCCACCGCAGCCGTCGCCGCCGGTTTCCGCTCTCCGCCTGCTCGGCCTTCCCTCCCCGGACCGCGCGCCGGTGTCTCCCCCACCGCCTCCTGACCTCCCTGTCTACGGTCCTGTGTTCCCGCCGCCCGACTCGTCTCCGGCCCGTCTTCCTCCTCGTTCCCCTCCTGTGTCTCCTCCGCTGTCCCCTGACCCTACCCCTCCGTCTCACGTTTGGGCTCGCCGTCCCTCCCGTGCTCGTCCCGTCTCTCCTGTCCTGCCCACCCACCCTATGTTGCTCCGTTCCCACTCGTCTCGTCCTCCCCTCCTCCCGTCCCCTCCTCCCTCGTCCCTTGCTGTTGCACCTCCTCCGTTCTCTGACTACCTCCGTGCTGCTCGTCCCCTTGTCCCTCGGGTCCTTGCCTCTCT